TTTGAGAGAGAGAATGAGAGAGAGAGAGAGCATGAGATGGGGGAGGGTCAGAGGGAGAAGCAGACCCCCCGCTAAGCAGGGAGCCCGTTGCGGGACTTGATCCCGGGACTCCAGGATCATGACCTGAGCCAAAGGCAGTCGCTTAACCAACTGAGCCACCCAGGCACCCCGGCATGTGGCAATTTAAAATTCACTCTGCTTTATTCCCTAAAACAGACCTCTCCCATCCCCCCCCCCCAAAAAAAGAAACTTGGAAGCTGGTTTATATTGCAAAATGAACCCACCTAAAATACACTTTTATGAAGTGTTGTGCCGTTCGTGTTTTCCAGATGCTCACTTAACATGGCAGCCGGGGTGCAGTAAACCACACAAAGCTACTTTAAAGTGGGGAGATTTGGCTTACATCCACCGAAGCAGACCTAAGGCTGATCGAGCCATCCATCCCTAACTTATTTTAATTATGCCTGAATGTTCCAATTCTCTTGGCAAATTTTTGAAATACCTGAGTGGAGCAAGGTAGACTTAAATACTGTTTTTAAATGGCCGGTTTGTTTCCTGCCTTGTAAAGAAAGTTGAGGTGGATGTCTCAAAAGTTGCCACCCTGCAGCAAACCAGAACACTGCCAAGCTTTAACAGCAATTAAAACGTTAGAATTGGTAGAGTCCTTAAATTACAGAGATTAGCAACTCATTCTGTGGATGACAGATGATATTAAGAACCCGGCAACCTACAGAACCATCCCAGAGGGCGGAGTCCCCTTCTCCTCTTTCCCCGGGGGTACAGTTTCTTTGTCTGCTCCAACAGGCCACATGCAAGGCAGTATGTTGACAGGTAGATTTTCTTAAGTACTATCCATTAAAGTCCCGAGTCTCTTTGTGGGACACATAAAGAGAAACCAAAATTGTTATGAATTAGAGCCAGTGTGTAGTCCAGACAGCCTCTGGGGGTTGAGAAGCATAAATATATACAATTTCAAAAGCAAGAAGTTCTGCACTCCATATGGGGAGCTAATGAAATGCAAATCTGATACTTCAAGTATTGTTCTCACTCCGATTTTCAACTCCTTTTAAATGCAAAACAGAAGGACTCAGCAGAACCACACCGTAAAGTAGTTTCTTCAGCTCAGTGTGAAAAGGACACGGAACTAATTTATTTTTTTCTGACAAGTGGAGCTTTTCTCAGGACGACTGTAGATGTTTCCACAGCCAGTTGGTTTTCATTAGTGGCAGTTTCAGCCTTCCTTAATGTTCCTCTTCCTTGGCCTTGCATGGCTGAACTGCGGTATTTGCTCTAACTGCCTCAAAGCCTTCCGTGTCCTGGAATTGAGGGCTACCCAGAGCCTGTTCAGTGAAGCCAGGATACGGTTTTTATTCTATCATATGTCTTACCCATGCCAGTTCGGCTAAATTGTTCCCGTTAACTTGGGGGGTTTTCCATCATGATGTTCTGGTGAAAACGTTTGCGGGGTGATGATTGTCCCAAGAATGACTAAAACAGTCTGAAGTCTGTGCAGGTCCAGGGAATTAAGACGGCACCACACCTCCAACTAGATGATAGAATGGGTCTCATTTTAGAACATGGGCAATTTTAGGGCACCTGGGTGGCTCAGTCAGTTACGCCTCTTAAGACTCTTGATCTCGGGCGCCTGGGTGGCTCAGTCGGTTAAGCGACTGCCTTCGGCTCAGGTCATGATCCTGGAGTCCCGGGATCGAGTCCCGCATCGGGCTCCCTGCTCAGCAGGGAGTCTGCTTCTCCCTCTGACCATCTCCCCTCTCATGCTCTATCTCATTCTCTCTCTCAAATAAATAAAATCTTTAAAAAAAAGACTCTTGATCTCACAGTCATGAGATCTAGCCCTGTATTGATCAACGCACACTCTCTCTAAAAAAAAAAAAAGGCAGTTTCACATATTGCCAGATGCTATGTTTGGATTTGAAAACATGAGATAAAAGAGAATGCTACTAGTACGATAAGATTCACGAATTTGTCTCTTCCCTTTCCTACTTATTGGCACATGAAACAGCATTCAGTGTAACTAGCAAGATGGCTGGTTTAAACAAGATCATGTCAAAATCTAGAGAAAGGGACAAGCCAAAGTTGTCCAGAGCGGGGTGTGCATCGTCCCGCTCTACTCCAGGGTCCTTTCCTCTTTCTGTGACCTTTGTGTCCACCCCTGCACTCAGGCTGCCCTCTCGTTTATCTGTGAGAACACGAGTGTTTCAGCTTATTATTTGATTCTCCCAAACACTATAACCACCTTTAAAATAAGAACCCTGTCTTCTAATTCTTGGTTAATACTCCTGGGCCTAATCGATGTTGTGTACAGAGAGGAAACTGGTGAAATGATGGGTGTGAGAGTGCTTTGGGAAGTGTTCGTGATAACCCTACTAAGCACGGTGTAACGATCACGTAATTGCCTGTGAATGTGTAGGTTACATTACGAAAGTCCTGCTGCGGCATGTCCCCGGTAGAGTAATACCTATAGTTTAGTGAGCCTTATCCATGGCCAGGCAGGGTGCTGAATGCTTTACATGCAGTATTTCATTCTGTAGATGAGAAAACTAGGCTTAAGAAAACCTTCATCAAGGTCACACTGGCCCGGCATTGTCAGCCAGGACTGGGGCCCAGCCTGATGCCAAAGCCCCCACCTTCAAATGTTCCCCGTGAAGGCTTGCTCTGTGTGTGTGTGTTTATGTCTTTATCTCTAGGCCTAAATGTGATTTTTTTTCTTGAAGATCATAGACTAGAACAGACCAAATAATGTTAATATGCCACTTTAGTGGTAGTTTAATAAGGAAATAAGTTTTGTTTTTTTGTTTTTTTAAGTAAGTCTGGATCTAATGCTTACAAATAGAACAAAAGAGTGACTCTGTTGTTCTAGCTAATAATCTGATTAAGACTTTTACCCCTGGTTAAGACTATTGGTTGTGTCTAATAAAAACACATTTTTACAAGTATGTTTTAATTTCATGCCTCTTCTTTATAGTCCACACTTTGTTGTGCTGACACAAACAAGACATAAATCCTTATTTAAATTAGTAAATCATATAAATTTATGGTAAACAGAAAACAGATTTGTGGTTTTGCATAAATTCTTCCCTAAAAGATATTAACTAGATAAGCAGATTTGTAAAAGGAATTTGGGGTTAGGAATCAAGAGTTTCGTGTTTGGGGCACCTGGGTGGCTCAGTCATTAAGCGTCTGCCTTCGGCTCAGGTCATGATCCCGGGGTCCTGGGATCGAGTCCCACATCAGGCTCCCTGCTCCGCAGGGAAGCCTGCTTCTCCCTCTCCCACTCCCCCTGCTTGTGTTTCCTCTCTCTCTGTGTCTCTCTCTGTCAAATAAATAAGTAAAATCTTTAAAAAAAAAAAAAAAAAGAGTTTCATGTTTGTGTTAGATACTGCCTCTTTCCATATGTTTGACCTTGGGCAAATCAGTTAGCCATTCTGAGCCTCAGTTTCTCCTTCCATTAAAAAAAAAAAATGAGCATCACAGTTATTTTAAACCTCTAATGAAATAATGTATGTGAAAACTCCTCATGAAGTGCCTTATGCATTTTAGCCTGCATATTAACTATTGAACTTTTTAATGATAACAGATTTCCACCTATCTGAAAGCAAACTTTAAGCACTCCTAATGAATAATCAAGTTCAGAATTTAGTTTTTTGGGGCACTGGGTGGCTCAGTCGGTTAAGCATCCAACTCTTAATTTTGGCTCTGGTCATGATCTCAGGGTTGTGAGATCAGGCTCTGTGCTGGACGTGGAACCTGCTTGAAATTCTCTCTCCCTCTCCCTCTGTACCTCTGCTTGCGTGTGTGCTCTCTCTCTCTCTCTCTCAAATAAATAAATAAATCTTAAAAATCTTAAAAAAAAAGAATTTAGTTTTTCTCGGTCATCTACAATTCATGGATACTATATATTAAAGAAATCAGTGTGTTTTCCCTGTTTCTCATCCTCCAACCCCTTACTTAAGGAAACTAAACAATAGAACATAACAGCTTTGTTCTCTGTGTCAGCAGAGCATTACGGAGTCCTGAAAGAATGTTAAAGCAATTTAAAAATACTATTTTTAGGTGTGATATTGTCAGGAAATAAGCTTTCCTTAAGAGATTTTGAGAAAAACAGTTCTTGAAAATCAGCAGCTGAAGTAGCAGAAGGAATTATCTTGCATTAAATTTTAATACTCAAGCCAATATTGTTAACAACAAAATAAAATATTCTTTATCCAGGTTGAAACTGTCCAATGATGAAATCAAACGGGCAATTCTAACAATGGACGAGCAGGAAGATCTGCCCAAAGACATGTTGGAACAGGTGAGCTGCCAGACATATCTCAGAGCATAAGTGACAACTGGCTTTCAGCAGGGAGTGGGATATTGAGAAAATCTGGTTGTTGCTGGTGGATAATTTCCTCATCTCTGAACCAAAGTTGAATGTGGCTGTCTTAAGAGACTTTATTCTCTTGTTGCTCCTCAAAATGTTGGGTGAAAAAGAAGGTCACAAGTTTGTCAGATGCCTGGGACCCACAATGCCAGATTCGGTCCCTCGTGCTGCAATTAAGTTATTAAGCCTTCATAGGTCATGCACAATTTATTAGCTTTAGGGAAGTCTGTTGGACAGGAATATGGAGCATCTCACTAGCACTATGAGATCACAGACTACTACATAAACTGATTCATTACTGAATCCTTAATATAGTTTGTGTCTTGGCTGTGACTCACCATTCCTACACCACAGGAGTTACTGTTAAACCCCCTAGCTCTATCATCTGCATCAAAATAACTCATATTAACCATGGCCAGACAAGCTGAATGGAGCGACTTAGCCTCTCTTCATGCAGTATTCCTGTAACACGTTCTGTGGAGCTGTTCCAACTCTGTTATGTGTTTCTCAGCAGCTTTGTTCAGTTGTCCCCTAAATGACAATGTTGTTGAACTAGCAGTTGGTTCAGGGATTATTACCTGTCTCTCGGTCTGGCCCTAAGTTTTTCTGTGCTTCGTGGAGATCATCTCCACTTTCTGAGACTGTTCTGTCTGCTTGTCTCATTGTCCTTCGTACAAAATCCTATTTTGCATGATTTTGGTTTAGAGGTCCACATCTGTTAGTGCCAAGTCCACTGAAGGCTAACTGTGGACCCCAGCGATCATGATGCCAGGCTGAACTTGAGGTCTCAGCTGTAGGCATGCTTAGCTTCCAGAAGCAGAGGAAGAGGCTGTTTTGTGTTGATAACCGTGATCTTGGGTGGCATGGCTGCTTATGCATTTTCCATAGTGTTCTCACTGCTGTCCGAAAAGGCCTCTGACAGAGAAGGGAGGAGTGATGTGTGCGGTGTCACCACACCCCAGTGCACCTGCCCCACCTGAAACCTGCAGCTGCAGTCATCCTGGGGGAAACCCTCACACTTAGCAATGGAATAAGTTGTCATGCTGTCCTTTCTGAGGTTTGACTTCGTTACCAATAGTCCATGACCCTGTATCCAAGCCTGTTAGGATACTTTGTGTACAAATAGTTTAAAAATAATTCCTAAACTGAAGATTAATTTTTTAGAGCATTTTACAGCTTCTCTGCACACCCTTCCCTCTCCGTCTGCAACTAGTCCTAACAAGGGTCTCTGCCTGGAAGTGTGGCCCAGACCCCCTATGCCCCTCTCCAGCCCCCAGCTGGCCCTGCACTCTGGTTGCCTGCATCAGAAGCTGCTCACACAGAGGGAGGAACTATGCAGAAAGCTGCTTTGGTCCTTAGGCCTTCAGCCCCTGTTGACAAGGTCATATGTTTAAAATTCCACAAGATCTGTTTACTGTGAAATCGCATCCAGCAAAATTCCTCCTTGAGGGAAGGGATTTCAAGATCTTGCCAAAAGGGCTTACAGTGCAAAGAGAATGTACTTCAAATAAATACAAGTAAGAAAATCAATCTACTGAAGCAGAATCTGGGCAAGTGGGAAACTTTTGACCTGGTCTACCCTGATAATTCTGTGTGTCTTACTTTCTGGTCATCTACCATACTCTTTCTTTTCCTCCTTATTCTACTCTTCTTCCTCTGCTTCCTCTTCCTTCACACAGTACTTCTCCCAGACAAACTTGAAGCTAGCATCTCTTTACTCCTAGTTATGATTTGCATTTGAACCACATCATTCCCTCCTCTCCTGCTTTTAGCTGCTGAGCTCAGAACTCAGACGAGATTGATACCCTCCTCTTTCTTGGAATGCATACCTTTCTCCTCATTCCCAGGTGTTTGTCTAACTCTTCATTCCTCTTTTAAAACTATCCATACATAGTCTATCACTTGACTCTGCTTTGGGAAGGACTGAACCCTTAGCATGTGCCTCTCACAGTGTCCTAAACCAAAGAGAGCTAGTGATTGTGTTATCGTGAACAGGGGCCTATGAGCTTAGCACACACAAACCAGTGTGTGTGTCTTGGGGGTAGGGGGAGTCCCTAAGACTAGAACTGAATTTCCTTGCACAGTAGATAAAAACAAGGGGAGAAAACAAGTCTTTTTCTCTCTCTTCCTTCTCCCTTCCCCTTGCCTTACTACCTTCCTCCCTTCCTCCCTGAACTGAGGAAGAGCAAGAAGATATTTGTCCTGTCCACTGGCACCTTTTGAACACAGGAACATAAATGCCTAGAATCTATCAGGCCACCAGACCAGCGAACCCACTGGCATCCACATCCATTACATCCCATCAGGAAAGAGGGGGTGTCTCTGGCCTCTGCTCTGGCCCAGCCCTTCCTTCTGCTCAGGGACCCAGCCAGATCAGAGCACCCTATCCCCCTCTCCTCGATCCTACACCTTTTCCTCTTGACTCTTAACTTGTTCGAGTCTCAGCCTTTCACAAAACACCTTTTAATACCACACATGCCCATCTAGCTACTGTCCTCTCTCTTTTTTGATACAAGCAAAGTTCTTGAAAACTTGTCCACACTCACCTCCTGTTCACTCTTCCTCACCTCCCTAAAGCTGTTTTCACTAAGGACTCGCCACCTCCTTGTTGCCAAAGCTAGGGGGCTCTTTGCAGTCCTTATCTTCCTTGATTTGCTACTGGTATGTGACACCAATGGCCACTTGCTCCATGGTGAAATGTGTTTCTTTGGCATTTCATTGTCTCCTCTGAAGGTTCCTCCTCTTGTCCTCATTCCTCAAACATTGACTTCTTTCCAGCCCTGCTTTGTTTCTCTTGATGGTTCCCCTGGTTACCTCACTCACATCCTTGCATGTTACAGCCAGTATCGATGCTTTGTCTTCCAAACAGGTCTCTTTAGGATGTCAGACCCATTTGTCCACCTGCTGACTAGGAATCACTACTTGGTTCTCTTGCCAGTATTTCAAACACTGAACTCACTTTCTCCCCACCCACTCTCCTCCAGCCATTTCTTCCTGGGTTTCCTGTTATGCTCTGTATACATTGTTGCCTAAGCCAGAAGCCTGGACCTCATCCTTTTGACCCTCTACCATAATCCATCATCCATCAACAAGTCAGGCCAGTTCTGTTCAATTCCCTAAATAGCTCTAGAATCTACCCACTACCCAATCCAGGCCACTGTCCTCTCTCACCTGGATTATTGTACCAAGAGTCTAATCACAACTCCCTAATACTTTTGATCCTTTCTAATTCTTTCTCCATCCTGTGAGCGTGGTGGTCTTTTTAAAATGTTAATTCATTCCCCTACCTAAGATTTCAAGTTATATCACAGAACCCTCAAAGTAAAGACTGAACTTCTTATAAGGTCCTTGCTACTCCCTGACCTTGACCACTGCTGCCCTCCCCCCTGCCATTATAGCTGTTCTACTTGCATAAATGCTGTGCCGCCCACTCCAGACCCTGGCACATGCTGTGTACTCTGCCTGGAATATATTTTCAACTGCACACCATTCACCTGTAGTTCTAAGTCTCTTTCCCTGCTGATGGCACCCAGACTGATTGCCTTTTCTGAGGTCCCTTCGTTAAATCCAACAGACTTTGGAAACCTACTAAATGAACCATCCAAATGCCAGCTTCAAGTTTTGGGGAGGATCTTGGGGTCCAGAGCGTCAGTGTCATTAAAAAATGTATATATCCAAGGGCATCTGCCAGAAAATAGCATACATGGACAAGGCTGTGGGTACATATACACATATTTGTGACTGTAAAGGAAATCAGACACAGAGTACTTTTTCAGCTTTAAATATTATTGCTATTTCTCCCACAATCCATGCTCATTTCTTCCGCCAAAATAAAATACAGAATCAAAAACTAAATCCTACTGTGTTCTTCTCATCCATCTCGACATGGAGCAAAAAAATGAGATGGAATTAGATAAGCAGAGAAATAAACAAGTTGAATGGAAAATACACATAGAATTAGTCATTCCAGCATGATGTAATAGAAAAAAGCATTGAGCTGGGAGTCAGGAGACCTAAGTTCTATTTCTGACGATTACATGAACTTTCTTTGTAATCCTGGGTAAGCGGCTTTGTCTCTCTGGACCTCATTTGCATCATCTTCTAATGAGAGTGTTGAGTCTCCCAAATCCCTCTAATGGTCTATGCAAAATGGATCCTGGTAAAGAACTTCCACAATCTGATATGAGAGACAATATAGAATAGAAAGGTGCCAGGAATGAATCTTATACCAGTTTAACTACTTGTAAGTAAAAAAGAAAAGATTTTTCCCCCAGTTTCATTGAATATTACTGACAACATCACTATAAATTTAAAGCATACAGCATAGTAGTTTGATTTACAAATGTGAAATGATACTGCAATAATTTTAGTAAGTACCATCTGTCATGTCCTATGGATACAATAAAAAAGGAAAAAAAATTCTTCCTTGTGATGACAATTCTTAGAATTGACCTTCTTAACAACGTTCCTGTACATTATATAACAGTGTTACATCCCTCATGCTGTACATTACATCCCTAGAACTTAGTTGTAACTGGAAGTTGGTACCTTTAGACCACCTAACTGGAAAGATTTAGTCATTTGTATTATATCTTAACAATGACCTGTAGCAGAGTTTATAAATTAAAAAAAGTTACAGTCTCATCTTTGGGGCAAATTAACTGAAAGAGTGAAAAATTACTGCAAGAATTTAGTTATAAACCTCAGTGTTAATATTTGTGTGTACTTTTTAGCTCTTGAAATTTGTTCCCGAAAAAAGTGACATTGACCTGTTGGAGGAACATAAACATGAACTGGATCGGATGGCCAAGGCTGATAGATTCCTTTTTGAAATGAGCCGGTAAGTTTGAAAATGTGTAAAATGTGAACATGCCCCTTACCTTTCTTGGGAAGTTAAACTTTCGATTCTGTTTGAATTATTTGGGCCAGTAACTTGGGTTAACTTAAACCCTTTTTAAATTACAGAATCTTCTTAAGTCTGAGTTGTGTGGAATTTGTTTATGTGAGTTCTTGCCCATGGGTGAGCCAGTGTTAGCATTTCTTCATAATTACCTCTGGTTCTGGACCTAAACAACTCATAACTTTTCCTGGTTCCAGATGGTGTCATTCTCCCCACCACTTTGACTGCTCTGGGATTGTATCTCACTCCTCTCTGTACCTCAGCATCTCAAAAAATGGACAGACTCAGCAGTGTCGACCTGAAGTCCACATACATGAACAGCTAGGGTCTGGATGTCAAATCATGACACATGCAGACATCTCTAATCAATCATGGCACACTTCCCACAGAGCCTTGGCAAGCATTCTCAACCCTTCTCCAGAAACCCAGAGGCAGCCACTGCTTCATAATTTTCTTTGGCATGTGAGCTGAGTCTATTTGCCATCCCAGGCCTGGAAAATTGATTCTGCATTAGACAAGGACCAGTGGTCCCGAGACTGTCCTTCAACCCCAGGGCAGAGCTCTTCCCCTGAGTACCAAAGGCCTACGAGTGTAGCCAAGAGGAAAGTGTCTCTCACTCTACATTTCTGTCATATCCAAACTTACTTTTGTTGTTGTTCCATCTCAACTTGCCATTTTATATACTACTCTAGGACAAAGGATGGTTTTGGAATTTTGACAGGTGTGCCCAGCAAGCCTGTGTGTAGATAAATAGACGATCACCTGCTGCCATTTTGTAGTTGTCTAGATCTGTGCATGCATCCTCCCCCTTGATCTTCCTATCAGCCCTGCCAGGAGGGCTGTTGGGTAGGGAGGTATTCTCTTCCATCTAATGGAGGAGTTTAGTTACCTATTGAAGGTCACCTAACAACAGGAGAACCTGGGCTGCAAACCCAGGTCTGTTTGATTATATGGGGCTACTGGACTGAAGTTTCCAATAGAGAGCAGATAAGGCAGTGATTTGATTTCAGAAGGCCTTGGCAAGAATGCCTGCCCTCATCCTCTCAGCAGCAGCAACTTAGTGTGACCAGGGGCCAGTTTGCATCCTGTTATCTCTGGTCACTGGTTCCTGTCTTGGAAGGCAGAGCCTGCCAGCCCTGAGGAAAGCAGATAGGGAGCTAGTTGTAAAGAAAGAGGATGGTTTGGGGACATGAGTGGGGAGTGTATGATATGAGGAGAGAATGATGGAGACAAGTTTTACTCTGCAGCTTTGCCAAAGGCAGACTCTGGAAAGTTAAGCATGGGAGAAACTTAGGAAACAGCCCCTTATTTGCAGCAGTATGGGGAGAGGCTTTATATTTTCATTCCTTTTTATCTCCTCTGTTCACAAGAGCTCCTGGGACTCTGAGGAGGGGAGGAGGCAACTTTCCTTTTCTTTTAGCAGTTGCCTGATCTGTTTAGAGCTAAGGATCCAGCTGCCATTGCCCAAATACCCCCTGTTGGTCGAAGGGAAATGGGCTCTCCAGACAAAGTGGCCTCATTTCCTGTGCTCCTGTCCAGGAGAGGGTGAGGGGTGTGTGTGTGTGTGTGTGTGTGTGTGTGTGTGTGTGTGTGTGTGTGTGTGTGTGTGTGTTTTGGGGGGGGGCATGCTCTAAGGTACCTCCATATCCATTGAGCGAACATAGACATCTTAAGTAAATAAATGTTCATCAATACATGCTTGCTCTTACAGAATTAATCATTATCAGCAAAGACTACAATCACTATACTTCAAAAAGAAGTTTGCAGAGCGTGTGGCAGAAGTGAAACCTAAAGTAGAAGGTAAAGTCAGGCCTCCAGATTGAAAATGATGTTCATCATAAGTGCCCATTTGCAAATACAATCCAAGTGCAGATAGTAAACAGTATCTGTTGGGGGATTTTTTTTTTGCTTAAAATCTTTTGGTATTCTGATGGGTAGTTACTTAAGGTCCACACTTGGCCCTCTGGTCTAGCCTGGGTTCTGGAGCTCACAGCACATCTCCTGGGCTCCTCTGTAGAAGTGGGCTTTTAACTTCCTGGGAGTTGGTGAGAAATATATTTGACCGTTACTAGCGTTAAATCTATAACTAGCTTTATCGCAGTGGTGCTTTACTAGATATTTCTCGGGGAAGATTTAAGGCTATTAAATTTTTAAGTGTTTGAAACATGGGCAGCTGAAGAGCACAGCCACAGAGTGCAGACTGGACTCAGGACTGTGCTCAAGCCCCAATCCCTGATGACAACAACAAGCTGTAACATGAAACACATTCGGCCAGGTTTTTTTGTCAATAGATTTGATCAATAATCCTGTTGATCTGACTTACACTGGGCAAGAAAGTGTTTGCACAGGAATGTGGGAAATGCAGTCACTTTCTGTGTGTTCTTAACTGCTTATGGTTGATGAATCAGCCAAGAAAAGGATTAAGAAAGGATAGGATTGTGCAGCTACCTGTGGGTCAGCTGGCTCTAGAGCCCTGTCCCCTCGCTCTCTGCTTCTGGATTAGGTGTTTTGTAAGTGCTCCCTGGTAGTCCAATGACCCAGTCTTACATCTTCAATATCTGCTCTCAGGTGTGTGGATTTAGGATGGGTATCACTGAAGAGTCTTGGTTGTAGTAGTTGTGTTTGTGTGTGCTTTATTTTGAAGCAATTCGTTCTGGCTCAGAAGAGGTGTTTCGGAGCCGCGCCCTGAAGCAGTTGCTAGAAGTGGTTTTGGCATTTGGAAATTACATGAATAAAGGCCAAAGAGGCAATGCATATGGATTCAAGATCTCCAGCCTAAACAAGATTGCTGACACAAAATCTAGTATTGACAAGTAAGTACGGTATCTTCCAGCACTTGGAGGATCCAGGAGCTGAAGTCAGACCCCTCTGGGCCTCCTGGGCCTCCCTGATACTGCAGCCCCCGGTTTGCTTGTCTCTCGCTCATGTTCTTTCCCTCTCCAGCACTGACTTCTCTCTTCTCTCCTAATCACAAATAACCCTAAATTCCCATCGGACCAATTATCCTTCATCCATTTTCAGTCCCCAGGGATAGCATCTAGTCTTAAGTTTTTGGGTTTTCTTGGATAAACTTTGTATTATAGTGTAATACACTAAGGACAAGTCCACTAGTCAGAAATGTACAGCTGGATGAATTTTCACAATCTGAACCTCTATATAACTAGTGCCCCGATCAAGAGACAGAATGTGACCCACATGCTACTGGTCTCTTCATGACCTCTCCCAGTCATGACCCCTCCACAGAGAACTGTGTTCCAGGGAAAAGAAAAAAAAAACTGACAGCTGATGAGAGAATGTGAAGCTTGTTGGGGTTTTAGGATATGCCTTCCTTCCTTTATACACTGAAGCTAGCAGCTATAAAAAATTATGAGGTATAAATGCATTTTGGCTGTTGGTATTAAGCTGCTCCTTCCAAGACTCCTCAAAATGTTTCCTAGAAAGTGTGTTTTAGGTGAATGGATTCTTGTTAGAAACACCGAGAGGTGAAAAATGCTCTGGTGTCATTAACAGGTAGGATCATTAGGCATAACAACATTAGTTTCCCAGGAAGCTCTGTTTCGCTAAGGTTCTTACTGACTTCAAAGCCACTTGCACAATTGTTTCTAAGGTGAACTTCCCTGCATCCAAATTCTTTTTAGAAATATGGGCTGTTCACCCTTATTTTCCCTCACTGGTAAGGCTTTTTACTCTATATTTTCTATAAAATTAGTGACGCATAGCATTATGGCAACCCTGAATCCATCCCGTAAGAAATAAGCCGTGTGTCAAGTTGTAGGGCTAAAGCTTATTTTTTGCCTCATGTAGAGCGAGATTAACAAAGCACAGCCATGCTATCACCACCTTATTTTTAATGTAAGCGCTTGATCCTTCCAGAGCGCTTTCGTATTTTTTTTTTTTTTAAAGATTTAATTTATCTATTTGACAGAGAGAGACACAGCGAGAGAGGGAACACAAGCAGGGGGAGCGGGAGAGGGAGAAGCAGGCTTCCCGCAGAGCAGGGAGCCCGATGC